CACAAGCTGACTCTAACAGACTGTCTCCCATCATTCCCAGTCAGGCTTTCCTTCTCTGAAGTCTAACAGTTTATCTATTCAAGTTTAAGCTCCATGGTTTTGATGAGGTTGGTTTGTTTGGCTAGTTGGTTTTCTGAAGAGCAGGGCGGTAAGGTTTGTGAGTCTGGGGGTCTTTCTTTGGTTGCTGTTGCCGTGTGTGTGTGTGTGTGTGTGTGTGTGTGTGTGTATTAGAGAACAAAGCCCTATGGCATGCTAGGCCAGCACGTTACCAAGTGAACCCAGAAGTTACCTTTCCAAAGCATACATCTCACAAGCCATCTCTCTGGAAATCCTTCAAGTGCTTGTCTCTGCATGAAAAACAAACTCCTGGGGCTGGAGAGATGGCCCCATGGTTAACAATACTTACTGGCTCTTGCAGAGGACCTGGGTTCAGTTCCAAGCACCCATACAGTGGCTCACAACCATACATGATTCCAGTTCCAACATATCTGAAACCATATTCTGATCTCTGTGGAAACCATGTACATGTGGCACACATATACATATACAGGAAAAACACTAATACACTTAAATTAAAAAAATTAATTTTAAAAGGTTAAAAACCTTAGTTATTAACATGCTTAAATTATTTTTAAATTATCTGCTGGTCTTAGCCAGGAAAGGTGGTGCACACCTTTAATCTCAGTGCTCAGGATGCAGAGACAGGTGAGTTTGAGGCCAGTCTGGGCTTCATGGTGAGGTTTCAGGACAGCCAGCGCTATGCAGAGAAAACTTCTCTCTCTCTCTCTCTCTCTCTCTCTCTCTCTCTCTCTCTCTCTCACACACACACACACACACACACACACACAAATTATTTGCTGATCTCAAAACATTTAGATCATTCCTGTCAAAACTAAAATGCCTTTCTTCTTTTCTCTACTTCTACATATCCGTCACAGCCTGACCAGTGCTACCCTAGGTCTCAAGAGTTAGATAACCTTTCTGTCCTCCCACTGCTCTATACATAGACACCAAACTGTCATCATGAAGCAGCTGTCAGTCACACTTGAACAGAAGGAAATCAATAAGCTAATTTGAGGCTCAGGTAATGGCTAAACTATGACAGGTCCAGAAAACACTGCTGTGGAGCGAGTTACCTCGATCAGGGGAATTAATTGTGCAGGAGGTGGTGGTGCACACCTTTAATCCCAGCACTAGGGGGGCAGAGGCAGACAGACCTCTGAGAATTCGAGGTCAGTCTGGTCTACACAGCTAGTTCCAGAACAGCCAGGGCTACCCAGAGAAAACCTGTCTTGAAAAACAAACAAAAATGTGTATGTGAATTGTGAACACAATCAAGCTTGTGTTCCCTCTACTAAGGAAAAAGAAACCATGTGTGTGTTTTCTGTATTACTATATAGGAAAGGAAATCAATGAGCCAAAAAATGTATTAGAACCTCTTCAAAGGGGAAAAACACTTAACCAGGCAGAATTAAGCTGGAGACACAGCTCAGTAAGTACCAAGATTGCCTGGCATGTAGAAAGCCCAGGCTCAACCTGTAGAACCCCAGAGAACAAGACATGATATCATGCACTTGTAATCCCAACACGGAGGAGGTAGAGACAGGAAGGTTATCCTCCACTACATAGTAGGTTTGAGGCTAGCCTAGGATACATGAGACCCTGGGGATGGCGAGTAGGAGCAGAGCAAGAATCCATCAATGACCCTTCTCCAAACCCATGGAGAGCTGTCCTCAAGTAGCAAGCTAGAATCCTTGGCCTCCTTATTATGATATGACTTACCAGTACAAGGAGCACAAATCAGCCCTTAAGTTCTAAATTTTAGACATATAAAATACTGTGTAAAAAAGGCACATTAATGAGCCGGGCAGTGGTGGCGCACACCTTTATTTTATTTATTTATTTATTTGTTTGTTTGTTTGTTATGTATACAACATTCTGCCTCGATGTATGCCTGCACGCCTGAGGAGGGCGCCAGATCTCAGCACAGATGGTTGTGGGCCACCATGTGGTCGCTGGGAATTGAACTCAGGACCTCTGGAAGAGCAGCCAGTGCTCTTAACCTCTGAGCCATCTCTCCAGCCCTGGCGCACACCTTTAATCCCAGCACTCGGGAGGCAGAGGCAGGCGGATCTCTGTGAGTTAGAGGCCAGCCTGGTCCACAAGAGCTAGTTCCAGGACAGGAACCAAAAAGCTATGGAGAAACCCTGTCTCGAAAAATAAAAAAAAAAAAAAGGGGGGGGGGAGAGGGCCTGGAGAGATGGCTCAGTGGTTAAGAGCACTGCCTGCTCTTCCAAAGGTCCTGAGTTCAATTCCCAGCAACCACATGGTGGCTCACAGCCATCTGTAATGAGGTCTGATGCCCTCTTCTGGCCTGCAGACATACAAGCAGACAGAATACTGTATAAATGATAGATAAATAAATAAATAAATAAATAAATAAATAAAATTAAAAAAAAAAGGCAAATTAAGCTGCTCAGCTGGTCAGATGTGGTCTTCCAGACACATCTTCTATGTAAGAAGGTAAACCTAGACACAGTCACCTGCCACAGTCAACCTCAGTATCTTCTTGCTCACCCACTTTCTCCCTGAGATTTAGTCCTTAAGTCATGTCCAGGTACATCCTGCCTTTCTTCAAGTTCAGAAAGTCAGAAGACAGATCTTAAAAACTAAAAACAGGACTGGAGGTGGTGGTTCATGCCTTTAATCACTGCAGTTGGGAGGCAGAGGCAGGCCTATCTCTGAGTTTGGGGCCAGTCTGGTCTACAGAATGAGTTCCAGGACAGGCACCAAAGCTACAGAAAGAAACCCTTTCTCTAAAAACCAAAACCCCAAACAAACAAATAAAAACCCTGTGTGAACAGGGATTAGCTCCATCAGCAGCATCAGATCACTTCTGCATTTATAAACTCTGAGTCCCACTCAGACTGTAAGCACGCATTCAGTGTAAGGCTGCCCAGAGCTTCACATCAGACTTCCCTGACATCAGCATCAGCATCCACACATCTTCAGTGAAAGCTCTGACCCAGACACTGACATCAGCGCCCACACACACTTCAGTAAATGCTTCAACCCAGACACCAACATCAACACGCATACTTGTCAGGGAAGTTCTAAGCCCATGAAACACTGAGAGATTCCTTCAATGGCAGATTTTAAAGAAATGACAAAAACATGACTATCTTAAGCAACCCCAGGCAGGAGAACAAAACAATGAGGTTCTCTGATCTGCTAAGAGGGTTAGCTTCATCAACCATTCGTCTAGACAACAAGCCAATCTAACTTCTCTGACTTCCAAAAGTTAAGTGCCTGCGTCACTCAAATATGGCAATTTCCCAAATATTTAGATCACAGCTAGATTAGGAAGATGAGGCTAAAATTTCCACTTTATTATTCTGAATTAGACAATTTAGGAAGCCTGAGAGCTATTCAATTATGTGACCATTTGCTTCTCTTAAATCTAAGCACATTTTTTAAAAAAATTTTATTGGTGTTTTTCCTGCACTATGAGGGTGTTGGATGTCCTGGAACAGGAGTTATAGACAGGTGTGATTTGCCATGTGGGTGCAGCTGAACCATCTCTCCAGCCCAAATCCGGACTTTTTTTTAACAGGTCAAAGAAGCTGTGTCCTCCAACTTTATATAATATGTACCACCTAAATTCACTATAGGGCACCTGGTTTAACAGTCTAACTAGAAAGGATGAGAAGACGCTCAGGCCTGACAGCGTGAAATAGGAAGAGCTGCTGGCTACACGGGAGAGTTTATATTCTGAGGTTGCAGTAAGCACATTATGTGCCAATTTCATTTTAATGCAATAAATCTCACTTGTTTTCTGCCAATTTGGGGTTGTTTAGCTATAAGGAGCAGCAGATTCAAACAGGGTTTTACCCTGTAGGCAGGGTATGGACTCTCTTGCCTTAGCCCCCTGTGTAGTAGCCATTACAGACAGATGCCACCATACCTACTTCTAAAGTACGTTTCATATACACAATAAGAAAGTTGAGGCCCAGGAATCACAAGCAATCTATCCAGTTACATAAAGAATATACTATCTACTGAACTCTGTAACTTCAAAATCCACACAGCATGACCTCTAAGTCTCCTTGTTAAGACGACCTTCAACTTATTATTGCTCATCTTTAACATAAAACTTGATACAAAAAAAAATCCCAATAAATTCATTATCTCAGCCTTGGAAAACAAAATGGTAACCCTGGGTGAAGGAATGCATTTATAAATGTGGTAAAGCACACTGCAGTGATAAAATACAATTAAAGCTGGTTTGCCCAGTGGCAATGAACGATGTATTCTACAACACATTTACCCAACCGCTTTGAGAAATGCTCATCCACAATGAGAAGCTGACGCCACACACTTAAATGGAAATCAGACAGGCATGGTGATGCACGCCTTTAATGCCAGCACTCAATAGCAGAGGCAGGAGGCTCTCTGTGAGTTTAAAGCCAACTTGATCTACAGAGAGAGTTCCCGGACAGTCAGGGCTACACAGAGGAAACCCTGTCTCACAGCACTTCCTTCTCCACCCACAAAGAAAAGAAAAGAAAGATTCACTGTCACAAAATCCGCCTCACCAGGTTCCTGTCACTATTTCTCTTCCTTTTTAGCAATTTAACCTCAAACATGTAAGGGATAAAACATCACTGGTAAACCATCAGCTAGATTCTGGTTAATTCAATCAATGTCTGCATGCTACTCATTAAACATAAATCTAAGATTACTTTTTCAAAAATGAAGTACCACTGGGCAATGCTGACGCACACCTTTAATCCAGCACCTGGCAGGCAAATCTCTGAATTCGAGGCCAGCCTGGTCTACAGAGGGAGTTCCAACACAGCCAGGTCTACACAGAGGAACCCTGTCCTGAAAAATACCAAAATAAAAGAGAGAGAAAGTGCTACGATCAACACCATTAGCCCTGCCCCGAGCATCTGAGAATGCACGACGGGTGCGCTGAGCAGACAGATGGCTGCACCTACCTGTCGGTGCTGGTGCTGGTACTGCTGCTCATCGACTCGCTACTGGAGGATCTACTTCGAGAGCCGCTGCCGCTGGGGGACCTGGTGGGTCTAGACGCTTGGCTAGCCAGCCTCTGCGGAGACTGGTTTCTAGACTGGGACGAATGTGGTGACCGACTCCTGCTGTGCTGGTAGCTGCGCTCTGGCCTTCTGCCTCGTACCTCCCGGGGAATGTCGTCCCTGTAGATATCCCTGTGTACCACGCTGGGCAGTGTAAACTGTTCCCGAGCCCTAGGTTCATATCGGGGGTCATGAGCATCAAAGCGGTTTGGACTTCGACTCCGAGAAGTGTAATAGAGCCCGTGTTGTAAAGTCCGCTCTCGAGGGTCTCTATAGTAATCCTGATCGTAATGTCTCGTCCGATCAAATGCTCCTGTCCCCCGTTCATGGTGTCCATAGGCACTATGTTCATAAGCACGCTCCCTGTTATCTGAAGCCCTGCATTTAGGAGGGGAAAATATTTAATCAGAAAGGAGCAAACAAAACTGAAAGCAAGTCATGCAAACATCCATTTCAGAGTTGTCTTTGCACCTCATCACTCTACATAGCACGGACCTTAGTAAGCAAACATTGTCAAGCTCAACATTTTACTTGACTCGAAAACTTCACTAGTGAGCATTGATTTTACTTATATTGGGCTGGCCTTCCTCAGTAGTGTTCTGCATGTCAAATGATCCCTTTATGGGAGAGTTTTCAACTTGTATAAAAGGGTGTGTGTATGTGTTGTGAATACCATTGTTTGGTTGTTTTGGGGGGTTTTGTTGTTGTTTTTGTTGTTTTTGACACTCTCATAGCTTAGGCTAACCTCAAACTCCCTATGTATGTATATATGATGACTTCTGATCCTGTACCACCTCCTAAGCACCAGGTGTGTACCACAATGCACAATACCCAGTTTATACCCTGATAGGTTGGCCTCCAACTCAGAGATCAGCCCCAAATGCCGGGATTAAAGGGAATGCACCCACCAGGCCCAGCTTAATGTTGGGGTTTTTTTTTACAGTTTCAACTGAATAAAACATACACTATACTTCTATTTACTTGTAGTTTATTTCAGAACACATCTGTGTGCTGCACTGAGGAAAACATTGACGCCTTTGACAGCCCACGTTCTGCACTAGGAGGACTGCCAAACAAACCAAACAATTCAAATACAGTGTTTTCTTACTCCTAAACTTTTTGTCCCTTAGAGACAGGGTCTTGCTATACAGCCCAGGCTAGATTTGAACTTCCTTTCTTTCTTTTTTTAAAATTTATTTATTTATTGTGTATACAGTGTTCTGCCTACATTCATGCTTCTAGGCCAGAAGAGGGCACCAGATCTCATTACAGATGGTTGTAAATCACCATATGGTTGCTGGGAATTGAAGTCAGGACCTTTAGACAAACAGGCAGCGCTCTTAACCACTGAGCCATCTCTCCAGCCCTAGATTTGAACTTTCAATCCTACTGCTTCACTCTCCCTAGGAATCAGTGCTGTAAGGCACATCTCACAACTATTAGGCCTCTCATTAATTTTGATGCTTGGGTCCTCTGAATAAATTACTAAGCTATATAAATTGCCCAAACAAGTATATTTAAAAATGAGAATGGCAGCTTAAAAACAATTAAGATATCAAAATATTGGGATGTTGCATAATACTGTCTGCATAACTTTACCTAAGACTGAAAGCTGTTCTATCTCCCAGCTGCTACGTAATTTTTAAGTACTTATACCATGACTAGTTTTTCTTTATATGTGTTTAACGACTGGAAGAAATAGGTTCTCTTGGCTTTGACTGTATCAAAGGTGCCTAAGATAAAACTGGCAATGCTGGCAACGGTGAGCTACTTGTGAGCAGCTATTAGTCATGACCTGACTTAACAATACTGGCTTTGGTTTTGCAGTTCTGAGGTCCAATCCAGGGCTCTGGACATGTGGGCCAAATGTTCTACCACTGAGCTACATCCTCAGTTCCCTGAGATTTTTAGTTAGGATGTTGATGTTCACCAGCCCAAGAGTACAGGATGTAATGCATGTATAAGAGTGTACACGCGTTTATGTGGTAACTCAGACACTGGGCATGGGAGCCCAGACCCTTCATGGGAGGCAGAGACAGGTGAGACTCTGTGACTGTGATGCCAGTGAGACTCTGGCTCAAAAAACAACAAAACCAAACAAAGGGAAAACAAGGAAGAAAGGAAAGGCCCTACTCTCTTAAGAAATTCTAGGTTCTCTACTTCTGCAGGGCATGGGCACAAGTCACTGGAGCTGTTCCTATACAATCTCACCCACTATCAATCTTCTATCAAAAGAAAGAAAGAATCTTGAGAGATAAAGAATTAGAATCTCTCCAACAAGGCTAGAATCAACGTTTCTATCGCCATCATTTTCTCAGTCCATTCCCAGATTCCCAGTATCTCCACCATTAGCAGTCTTTTCCCTCAGCAGCTCACTTAGTACCAGCCCTACTATCCTAGACAGTGTGGGTGTGTCTGTACACACATGTGCATCTCCACGTATCCAAGGCCATGTGGAAGACACACCGGGTGTACCTTCCTTGACCATTTCATGCCTTATTTTCATTCTCATTTTGTAGCCTTGGCTGATCTGGAACTCACTGTATAGACCAGGCTGGCCTAGAACTCACAGACACTCACCAGCCTCTGCCTCCAGTACTGGGATTAAAGGGGTATGTCACTGCACTCAGCCTACATCTTAGTTTTGAACTTGGAGCTGGCCAATGAGCTCCAGGAGTCCCCGTCTCCAGCTCCCCAGTGGGAGTGACGGCTGTCCGTCACTGTGCCAGGCTGTCACTGGGTGCTAGGGATCTGAGTCCAGGTCTTTGTGGTCCCATGGAGAGCATCTTATCTACGGAGCCATCTCCATGGACTCCTGATAGGCTATTTTTGCCTTTTTTTTTTTTTCCTGCCAGTATGGAAAACTAAGCTGGCAAAGGGAGAGGGAATGAGTACTATATTTTCTTCTGAAGTGTATTAAATAACATTATTTTCCTTTTTCATTAACTACAACTCCGAAACTTGAACATTTTCAGTGTCTAACAAGGTTTCCTTTAGATTTACACGAAAACATCGTAATAGGTCAGTTCTGCACACTACCAAATGTTAATTGGTAAAGCCATAATTAATGATGTAACAGAAGCAATAGACAATTACTGCTACAGCTGGCATTTTATATGCATGTGCAGCTCTTATCCATTAACAAGACACAGGCAGGCATGAGAGAAGCACATCTGACTGCTAGTCTTGGATTCATCTATTAGTACTAAATGCATCTAAAGTTAGTGAGGGAAAGAAAGGGTGTGACTTGGGTTAGAAGAGGGGCTAATATACACAGGTCAGGACATACCAACCTTTTCCAACTGTGGAAACACGACCTATAATCCCAATTAAATCTAGGGAGAGAATTGTGAACATAACTTCCCCAATTTTGGCCCCTCTTACGGGGGTAATCCACCTTCTTAGTGGGCAAGGGTGTCAAATGATATTTAGATGAACCACAAGAAAAAAAAAATCTTAGTGACCAGACAAATAATTCCACAGGAAGCAAGTAGTCCCAGACAAACTGTAACTCTCAAACCCCCAGACTTCTTTCTTGAGATAGTAGACAATTATAAATTGATCCACATTCATAAAAATCTGCAGCCCTAAACATGATCAGGCAGCTGGCATCGAGGAAAATCTCTCTACAATTCCAGTGAATGAGGAACAAAGTTGCTGACAACTGTCCGCTTTTGTAGACATCCAGCCCAGTCAATATGACTGCTGTATCCACAACTGACAGTGCTGTGTTCAAAGCTAAAGGTCCTTCAACAGGGTGGCAACCTGCTTAAGAAGTGGACAGTAATCCTCTTCCCCTCGGCTAATGGAGTCTGAGCTGGTAGCATCCCATACATTCCAGCAGTTAGGAGGCAGCTGTACTCCAGCATTTACGAATGTCCATCTTTCCTATTTCCCCATTCCATCGAGTGTAATTCCACGGAAATTGAATATATCCAAAAGGGAGAAATCCAGCATTGCCTTTGTTTTTCCTTACCCAGGTACACATTTCCATGTTCAAGTATTGGTTGTAGTATCCAAATGGTTGAATCAACGATCTGCTAGATATTTTGTGACAATCCGATTTGTTTGTAGACTTTGCATAATGAAAACTGAGAAGTGCTTATCAGCTTGTAAAAGATCTGCAGGCTCTGATATTCCGGAAATATTCCACATAGCCCGAAGACAAAACCAGTAGCCAAATAGCTCCATCTGGTAGTGAGGATATATCCAAGGAAGGCCTTGATAATATCCAACAGGAGGGATACTTCCTTCTAGAAACCAGGTAACTCCAAAATTGATGCTGCTGCAGGACCTCTTCCACCACGTTAGCTCAGGAGTAGATATCCATCTGCTGCAGGAAATATCCTCTATGGTTCCATGAAGTACCAGCCACTGGGACAGACATCACTTCCGTTTCCAACCCAAAATAGGAAACATGAGAATGCCCAAAACTTTAAATCCATCTGGGGCCCCTAAATTTGAGTTTCTGTTTCTCACCACATCAAATACAAAATACCTGCCTACAAAAACCTTGGAACTTACCCATCGAGTCTCCGTTCATAGCGTCCTTCTCGTGCATGAAGTGATGGTGGGGGGCCATAAGCAGGCCCTCCACCACTTCCTCTGAACCCAGAAACCTCTCTACTACGAGATGCTATGGAAACTGTATCATCCAATCCCCGAGCAGCACTTGGAATAGTGCCTGGTTCATTATAATCCGTGCGTAGGTCTCTATCTCCCATTTTGTTGACTGAGTTGTGCGCTTTCTGTGCACTTTTGATGTCCACAAAATCCACAAAGGCAGCCACTCCTCCTTCAGACCCCCGCTTGGGGAGAATTTTGACACTTTCCACGCGGCCATATCTGGAAAAAAATGAAGTAAAGTTATTTGTGTGTATCAATACCATCCCACAATGTTTCCTTTTAAAGTAATTTACATTATATATGTATGGAACATGAACTACAAAGTGGCTTTTTGTTGGGGGTACCTATTTGTAAATGTTCATGGTGCGCGGAGGGGGCCAGAGACCCACGTCAGGAGTCTTACTCCCCCTCCTCATTTTCTGAGACAGGGTATCGAGCTTGATCAGGCTAGATGGGAAACCAGCGAGGAGATCACAAGGGTGTCTAGCATGGTGAAGGTTCTAGGGGTCAAACACCAGTCTCTCTGTTTGAACAGCAAGTACTTTACGAACTGAGTTATCTCCCCAGTCCCAAAATAGCTATTTAAATGGCTCCCACTTACAATACACACACAGTATCACACAATCTTCAAAAGCTCATTTGCACTTAACAGGTTTTATACTCTCTGAGACAAATATTTGCACATCTTGTTTGATTTGGTTTGTTTCTTTCGAAATAGGGTTTTTCTGTGTATCTCTGGCTGTCCTGGAACTCACTCTGTAGACCAACCTGGCCTCGAACTCACAGAGATCCGCCTGCCTGTGCCTCCCGAGTGCTGGATTAAAAACGTGCGCCACTGCCGCCTGGCTGCCACATCATTATTTTTATTTCTCTCATTTGTATTTCTGAAACTAAATTAACTTTTCCAGAACACTTAACTAAAACAAACTCTCAAAAGTTCTCAGTCATATTTACATTGTAACAAAGATTATTAAACCTAAAATAAAATTGAAGTGGCTTTAAAATACTCAAGTGCGGTCTGGTAACATATGACTACAGTCCAGACATTCAGGAGATACAGGAGATACAGCCTGGCTCCATGGCGTGTTCTAGAATTCATGAGCTAGACAGTCCACTTCACGAAAAAACTATTTATTTATGCACTCGTGTAGCTGTCCACATGATACAGTGGACAGGTGGTAGCCAAAGGACAACTTTCCCAGAGTTGGTTTTCCTCCTTCCACTGTGTGGGTTCTGAAGATCAAACTCAGATTGTCGGACTTGGTAAGCACTTTCCCCTTTACTCATTCAGCCATCTAATAACTATACTCTATGTCTTCTGGGGGGAGAGGCTCAGGAACTCTAGTGTCCTCAACTCACTGGGAATGTGTGACCTTGAGCTTTCAGGGCTCCTAAAGGGCTGGGCTCACAGGTGCACACCACCATGAACCCTTTGTGAATGTTAGGAACTTGTGAGCTTAAGCAAGCACTTTGCCAACCAAGCTGCAGCACCAGCCTATTATGTGTTTTTTGTTGTTTTGTTTTTTAAATGAGTCAAAGTTTCTCTGTGTAGCCCTGGCTGTCCTGGAACTCACTGTGCAGACCAGGCTTAGCTTTGAACTCAGATCTGCCTGCCTCTGCCTCCCTAGTGCTGGAACTAAAGATCTGTGTTATCACGCACGGCTAAACTCACTTTTTAATTAAATGAACAAAATGCTTTGACAAAATAGATTTCCTGTGGGGTGGCACATACCTATAAACTTGATCCTGTAACCCCAATACTTGAGAGGTAGAGGCAGGAGGATCAGGAGTTCAAGACCACCCTTAGTTATATGCAAGTTTGAAACTAGCCTAAGCTCCAGGAGACCCTGTTGGAGGGGAGGACAGGAAAGAAATCTAGATATTTTACTCTAATTATCCAGCTAGCCTATGGCTATTAAAAACTCAAACCCTCCACCTCCTGGGTACTGCAATTAAAGGCACGTGCCACCTCACCCAGCCAGAGGTAACTTTTTTCTTTTGTATTTATTTTATTTTATATGTATGAGTGTTTTTTGCCTGTATATGTGCACCATGTGTAGGTCTGGTGCCTTCAGGTGTTAGAAGAGGAGCTGAAACTGGAATTACTAACAGTTGCTGGGAGTTGAACTTGCATATCTTCAAGAACAAGTGTTCTTAACTACTGAGCCATCTCTCCAGCCCCCAGAGATTTTTGTGAGTGAGTATGTGTGTGTGTGTTTTACATACACCATTTTTTACCCATAGTCGGCTAAACCCAGAGGGCTGACTAATCCACTAATCATCTAAGTTTTCTGGACAGAATAAAAAACTACCCAAAATATTGTCAGCTTTCCTCATGGTTTAGTCTTTCAACATTCTAAAGTGTCTATAGTAAACATTAAACAGTCCTTAGAAGTTCCCTGAAGAATGCAATTTCAGTTTGTTAATGACCTCAGAGCCTCCGTGTAGGAACTCAGCAACATAGCAGAAGAAAAGCCTGAGACCCAGTAGAGACTGAGGCTGCTCCAGGAGTAGCATGGCTTTAAAAGTGATGTTCTGGGTGCTGGAGAGATGGCGCTGTGGTTCAAAATACGCACTGCTCTTGCAGTGGACAGGAGCTCAGCTTCCAGAAGCTGTGTCAAATGACTCAGATCTGCCTATGGTTCCAGCTCCAGGGAATCTGATGCCCTCTTCTGGCCTTCATGGGCACCTGCACAAGCATTACATATTCACATATACCCAACACATAAACATAATTTAAATTAAAAACTTGCCAGGTAGCAGTGGTGTACGCCTTTAATCCCAGTAATTAGGAGGCAGAGGCAGGCAGATCTCTGTGAGTTTCAGGACAGTCAAGGCTACATAGAAAAATCCTGTCTTGAAACCCCACCCCCAAAATTAAACAAGTAGACTGAAATAGATAGATGGGTGGGTGGGTGATAAAAATTTGAGGAAAAAAAGTCTTGTCGGGTGGTGGTGGTCCACATCTTTAATCCCAGTATTTGGGAAACAGGCAGGCAGATCTCCAGGTTTGAGGCCAGCCTTATCTACAAAGTGAGTTCCAGGACAGCCAGGATTATACCGAGAACCCTGTCTCAAAACATCAACTTCCCCACTCCCAGAAAAACAAAGAAAGAGAGAGAAAAAAGAAAAAGAAAGAGGAAGAAGGGAAGGAAGAAAGTCAGTTAGTCTTTAGGGGCTAGAGAGATGATTCAACAGGTAAGAGCAAAGGACAGGCTGTTCTTTCAAATGACCTAGGGTTGGGTCCCAGCACCCACATGGCACCACACAACTATAACTCCAGATCCAGGATTCTCTTCTGGCCTCCACAGGCACCAGGCACACAAATGGTGCACAAACATATAGGCAGGCAAAACACTCCTGCACATAAAAAATTGAGAGAGGGAGTGAGAGTATAAGAATGAGTGTGTGGGGCTGGAGAGATGGCTCAGAGGTTAAGAGCACTGACTGCTCTTCCAAAGGTCCTGAGTTCAATTCCCAGCAACCACATGGTGGCTCACAACCATCTGTAATGGGGTCTGGTGCCCTCTTCTGGCCTGCAAGCATCCACACAGACAGAATATTGTATACATAATAAATAAATATTAAAAAAAAAAAGAATGAGTGTGTGTGTGTGTGTGTGTGTGTGTGTGTGTGTGTATGTACCGGGCTGGAAAGGTGGCTCAGCTGTCAAGAGTATGTATGATCTGTTCCCTGTTCAATCTCTAGGACCAGTGTCAAGTCCACAGCATGTGTCACACCAGCCTCTGCAGATCTGGTCCTGCTAACTCCACAGGCCCCTGTACTCACTCCCATGTGCACAGCCACACATATACATAATTAAACTTTAAAAAATTTTTTGGGGGGCTGGAGAGATGGCTCAGTGGTTAAGAGCACTGGCTGCTCTTCCAGAGGTCCTGAGTTCAATTCCCAGCAACCACATGGTGGCTCACAACCATCTGTAATGAGATCTGGCGCCCTCTTCCGGCGTGCGGGCATACACGGAGGCAGAATGTTGTATACATAATTAATAAATAAATCTTTAAAAAAAAAATTTTTTTTTTTGGTTTTTTGAGACAGGGTTTCTCTGTGTAAAAGAGCCCTGGGTCTTGTTTATAGACCAGACTGGCTTCAGAGATCCACCTGCCTCTGCTTCCTGAGTGCTGAAATTAAAGGTATGTGCTACCACTGCCCAGCTTAAAATATTTTTAAAGAGGTTATGTTCTAGGGACATGATTTATATGGCAACAAAACCAAGACTATTTGTTCCATGGAATTTACAGCTGCAGTTTCCTAAAAGATGAAAAGAAGACCTTCCTAGTCTAAACCAACCCCTCAGCTCCACAAGAAACTTGCTACCCAATTTCCAGAGCATCATTAACCACGTGGAGCCATATCAGCCTGCCCAGCACCACAGTAACAGTAGGGCAGCCCGAGAAGCACCTCCGTGGAGGAACAGGCTTCACTTGCATGATGAGTGGGTTCAGTCCCTAGTAGCCAAAATCAAGAAGCATCGGTACAGTAAAAGTTAATTTCTCTCAACCTCTTCCCTCATTAGCTGGATTAACAGAAATGTATAATTTTAATTTCACCTTTTGAAACTGGTCTCATAGGCAACAACAAACTGCCACATGCTTCATTTGCATAGTCCTCCCACTTCATACAACAATCCTCCCTGAGTCATTCTTGAAACAAGACAACAGAACTACATCCTACTAAAGAAAATAACTCATCAAGTTTTCCACCTAATTCCGCTTTGTCTACAGCTAGAGGACCGTATCTCAGGAGCTGGGAGTATAGCTCAGTGACAAGAGTACTTGCCCAGCATGCACAAGGTCCTGAGTTCAAATCCCAGCATACATATATACACAAAGATCAAAATTCACAACATAGCCAGGCACAGCAACTCACCCCTTTAATCTAGTGCTCTGGAAGCTAAGGTGGGAGACCAATATTCTGAGGCTAAGCAGGGCTATAGCAAGACCCTATCTCAAAACAACAAAATCTGCAGCATGAGGAAATACCTATGATCCCAGCACTCAAAAGCCAGCTGCAGGAAAGTCAGTCATTCTGTCCTTGGCCGCATGAAGTCTAACCTGCCTAGGCTACATTATATCCAACTTCAAATCAGAGGTAGAAGGGGATCCTCGTCTGCTGATATAAAAGTTTTTTGTTTCATTTTGTTGTTTTGTTTTTTTCAATTTGGTAACTATTTATTTTTTTGAAACAGTATCTTCCAA